TCCCTTTTTTAATATTATCATGCTTATAAATTCAACATTAAAGTTTTAGTTTACTATCGAATTTTATATAACACACTTTATAATATATACCTAATATAACCACTATATACAAAAGGAAAGGTACGTTAATGAACCTAAAATACGTGTGAATGAGAGTGATCGTAAAGATATGATGGTAAAGAAATGGTAGCTTATGTGTTGGTTTGTGTTAAATGTAGTTGATAAGGGAATTTGGATCCTTAGTCCAACGATCCAAGCTTTTGTTGAATAAGAACGGTTGAATTAAAGAAATTAACACTGCCTTGTACACAATTCGGATCGATGAAGAGATAAAGGCTAGAATTAGATTATCTGTTAAGATAAAAAATATAGAAGTAAAATTTGGAATCTTCTTGTTTTAAATTAAGCTACTCGACCATCGGACTTGATCAAGGTTTGATTGAATGACTTAAATGCAATCTATTATAAGAATTGTAAAAAATGCCTACTAAAAGAAGTTAGTGGCGAAGTTAGTGGCCATGTCCACTAAAACTTTCCCACCTTTTTGGCCGTTACAATAAGTTATGAAATTAAAATAATAAATAAAATTTTTAAATAAATTATCAATCATCCACCAATTTAACCGTCCAAATATTCACTATCGAAGTTCCACATTGTTCCTCATCAATTAAATCAGCTTGTAACACATGAAATAAAGGTTAAACTGAGTCTATCCAATTTTGTAGAAAAAGAATGAATACTTGTTGAATCTTCTTGTTTTGGATCGTGTAATAGGTTCGGTTGGAAAATTTGGAACACCATGATTCTTATCAGTAACTGAAGACAAGTAGATAACATGGTCATGTTGCAAAAGATACATGATGTCATCAGGTATTGAATCCACATTTCAAATCAATGATATCAAAATTTAAGGTTAGGGCCAAAACAAGTATAATTTAACAGTAATTGACATGTACTCGTTTACTAAAGATGGAAGGTTCAAACCTTTATATCTACAAATCATCGCTCTAATTTAATATGACATAAGGTATTTAGAAAATTTGATTCCAAAAGAAGCCCAATTTGATTTGTTTTGGTCAATCATTCTTAAATATCATGCACCAAAAATTAAATTCCCAAATTCATATCAAATTAAAAAAGAAAAAGAAAAAGAAAATATGGAGACATCAAGAATATCACCTCAAAACTTTGATGCTTATATTTACCAAATTTAATAATAACAACTTGATTTACTATTATTTATTAATTATATATATAATCTCAACATTTATCTCCAGGGTATCATTAGAATATTCTTCTAGACATATAGTGTTTTGAATGGGTCAAGTAGACCAATTTCTAAAGTCAACATTAACGTAAAATATTTATTTATTTTCTTTAAAATAAATATTTAATTAATTTATTATTTGTGCACGCACGAAGAATAATATCTATATCTATATCTGTATATCAAGAACGGGAATATATTCTTTTTTATTTTGGAATAATAAAAGGGAATTTTCAAATAATTTACATAAAAAGAAAATCTCATTTTATTTACTAAATTTTGTAAAATTAGGAAGTCCTTGTTTGATAGGGAAATTCGTTGGAATCTATTTCCAAAATCTCCACATAAAAAATTAATTATCACATATATAATATATATTTATTGAAGATATTAATCAAAATGACAAAACTTTATTATTTTTATTTATTTATTTTTTAACATGGGGACAAAATTAGGGGTAATATGGGCTAAAAATGTGAAGTAATTAAAAAAAAGGGGAAATTTTATAAAATTTGTAACTATCAAGAGAGGGACGCGGGACTGGGGCAGGAAAAAATAGAATTAAAATTATTTTATTTTATTTTTTTAAAGGGAAAAAAAAAAAAAAAAAGACAAAAATATTAACAATGAAAGGTAGGACCTACGATAACCTTAAGGTGGACGTGGGCACCATAGAGGAGAAGAAAGATCAGGATTGGTGGGGTACCACACGTGTCACACATCCAACCAATCAACTTGAACTATTGTGGGACCCTGTCTAAGTGACGCGTGGCTATTCCTCGATTGGGCCCTACATATTAACAGAAAGTTCCAGTTTTATCTCTCGAACTTCCATTGTACAGTTGGTTGGATGGCGGTTACTTTCGGAGGTTTTTATTTATTTATTTATTTATTTAATAAATCATAATAATAATAATAATAATAATTCATTTTTTGAGGTAATGTTTGGGAGAGAGTCTCGCGTTGACTAATTTAATTATATTTTAAAATAATTTAAATCAAAACTACGAGAGCTTAGGTTTTGTTTAAAGTGGAAAGAAAGAGGAAAGGAACGAACGAATGAATGATACACGTGTATTGTTTTTGAGAAAGAGTATTCGTGGTGGGCTAACGAATCGCCATGCTCTGCCCTTCCCCTACCATTCTTTTGTTTTTGTATTCTTTGTCATCTCACCCATCCTTTCTATCCACTCAATGTTTTTATCTAATAAATGCTTTTTCTCGTTCTATATTATTAAAATTTTTATTGTTTTGCTTTCGGTTTTTTTATTTTATCGAAAACTTCTATTTAGATATGCTGATTTAATCTAATCTAACCCGTCTTACCCAAAACAGAGAATGAAAAAGAAGAGGGGAGTACTCAAAATTTAATTTTTCTCGAGCGTAACTGATCTACGTATATACTACACCAGCCTAAAATTGTAATGCAAATTACTAAATACGAATTATTTTATCAATGACCGATAACAATTCGACTCGATTTTTAAAATCGAAGGTTTGAGTTCTCCATCTCGAAACACGTGTTTAAGAATCTTTTGTGATGTCTCTCTGTCTCTCCTTAGGCTCTGAGGCTCTAAAGAAATAAAGATTGAGGAAGATGGTTTGAAAGGGTTAGATACAGAGAATAGAACCAAGCTTTAGGAGGACGACTTGTCGTTTCATCCTTTTTAAGTTTTAACCACAACCACTTTGCTTCCTTTGCTTTATCAACTTTCCTTCTAATGTTGTCTATACATTTTATGAGACGACATAAAGCCAACCATCGTACCACAACACAAGGTAGTTATCTAGGAAGATGCTGCTTAAAAAATAACTTTTGTGTTGTCACATTATCAAATATTTGTACTTGAGTTAGACTTAACTACCGAACTCGGCACAAAGTATGTCCTTTAGGGTTATTAAGCTGGATGCATTTAGAAAATATGAGCGAGAGTTCAGAGAAACAGACAATATCTGCTAGTAGTGGGCTTGAACTAGACATTGGGTGGTGTGCCAAGTGGGGTGGATTGTGAGATCTCACATTGGTCGAAGATGAGAAATAAAACATTACTTATAAGGGTGTGAAAACCTCTACCTAGTAGACGCGTTTTAAAGTCATGAAGCTAACGACGATACGTAATGAACTAAAGTGGACAATAGCCGCTAGCGGTGGTCTTGGACTGTTACAATACTAAAAATAATACCTCGGCTTAGTATAGATTATTGAGACTAAAAATGTTAAGTATCGTAAGTATACGAGTATATGATGAGTAGTTGAGTTGAGTGGCTAGAAATTGAGAAAATAAGTATCATCATCGTTAAACCAAGACATATTTTAATAATGTGTATAATGTATGACATTTTGACTAAAGATAAATGTCTAAAACAAACCTGCAATGAGTTTGTTAAGTTATGAGTATGAATAGTTATATGCTATATTATAGTAAATATATTATATAGCAAATGATAATATATGGTAGATAGTTATATATAGTAGATCGTTACATCTAATAAAATTATATATATTATATATTATAAATAATAGACAGAGCTATATAAAAAGATGTACTTCTTTCTCTGTTGAGGTAAATACTTGAAATCATCTATATAAACCTCTAGTCAAAATTCCTAGATGAATCCTCGGAGAAGAGGATCAAGTTGGCCTTTGCAAACAACTTGATGCACTATCTCCTTTCAACCCTTTAAGTGAAATGTGACAAAAGGAAGGAACATTCAGGACCAACCCCATCGTTTCCACTCTGTAGGAACTACGAGATCACACCAAGAACGCCTTCGGTATCCAGAGGTCGCGAACCGACCATAGAACTCTGTTCAATAAGTGGAACGCATTAGCTATCTGCAATCCAGTTGGGCAATAAGGGTCGGAGAAGGGCAATCACTCCTTCTTAAAACCAGCATTCTGAAGATTAAAGAGGTGAGCGGAAAAGAGAAAAAGCTTTTCATTCCTAGTTCTCTATACGTGGCAAATTGGACTATAATAAAAGGAACCACAAATAATTGAATAATATTGGTTCTAAATAAGTGCAAGTGGTTGTTTAAAAGTAAACAAGAGAGAAAGAAGCCAGTTTTGAGTGTCCAAAGAGAGAGAAACTAAAAAAGGCATAAATTTGAAGCAAATGGGCAGCTTGTTTTGCTTGGAAATAACTAGGGGCGTTTATTTATTATTAAAATGATATGTCTCGATATTTGAAACGATAACTTGTGTCTTATTACTTAAGGGATAAGATATCTAAATTTATCTTGGTGGGTTGAGTTAATAATTTGAATAGAGTTCATAATTCAATCTAATTCAACTTTCTATTTTTTAACGTTTTATTATTTCTTTAATTATTTTAAAAATTATACTTTATTTATATGGTTAAACATTCACAAGTCACGGTAACCTTAAAAAATGTGGTTCGGATTGAGTAATTCAGGTTGGTCGGATTCTCGGATCCTATCAACATACCAAAAGGAATAAAAAACTGTCGTTGTACATGAAAATCCACGTGGCAAGAATGTACAGTAAGTTGACTGAGACCATGGAATGTCGGGCACGTGGATTTGAAATGTTAAGATGCGCCGGTGAGAGGGAGGAGGTGCGGTTACGGTGACGGCTTAAAGAGTTAAGACGGCGGGTTGGGGTGGTGGGCCACCTGGATTTCCGGCTGTGGACTCCACCTCTTCTGAATTCTCATCTCCTCCACTACCCCTTCTCCTTCGCCACTATAAATCAACCACTCATCTTCCTCTCTCTCTCCACTCTCCACCATAACTCTCTCTCTCTCTCTCTCTCTCTGTTCTTGCTCTGTTCTTGCTCTGTTCTTCTCTCTACTCTGTATTTTCCCCTTCCTCCTCAATTCCTCAACCAATTCCCCAAATTTCCCTTCTTAAACTTTCAATCTTTCTTAGACAAGAATTGGGTCGGTTTCTGTGTTCTTGTAGATCCCAATTTGAAGAAAGAGAAAACCCGATTTTAGTAAGGATAAAAACAGAGTACTGTAATTGTTATTGAGATGACGAACCAGAATGTGGTAATTTCCAACTCGGAATCCGGCATCAACATGTCCATCACCGTCGCAGTCTCTAACTCCTCCATTTTCGCCACCACTGCCCAAAAACCCCCACCGGCTCCTGGCGGTTGTGGCGGTGGCGGTGGCTACATCTCCATTTCCCGTACAAAGATTCTCAAAGACCTGGATGTTAATGGCGGATGGATTGAATCAATGAGAGCCTCCTCTCCCACCCATGTTAAATCTCTCTCTTCCCTCTCCGCCGCCGACGACCATCACCATAACTCTTGGACTGTAAGAACAGAGACTCCTCTTATCATCTTCTTTCATCCCATTTCTTAAGTCTTCGTTTCTTTGTGATTGAATTCAAGTTCTCTGTTTCTCAGCTTCATCATCCGTCGGCACTGGACATGTTCGATCAGATAATTGAGGCTTCCAAAGGGAAACAAATCGTGATGTTCTTGGATTACGATGGAACTCTTTCTCCAATTGTTGAGGATCCCGACAAAGCCTTCATGTCGGAAGCCGTAAGTTCTCCCAATTTCATTACCCATTCCTTAATTCCTTTCGTTTTCTTGTTTCTCACTGTTTTTTTCTTTCAATTTCAGATGAGAAAGACGGTGAAAAAGCTCGCTAGCTGCTTTCCGACCGCCATCGTGAGTGGCAGATGCAGAGACAAGGTACTTTTCTACAACAATCATAAATTTAAAAAAAAAAAAGCATCTCCTTTTCCTTTTAGAAAACTCACACTATTTGTTCGGCGATATCTCCGCCGTGCGCGACGGAACGGCAGGTGTACGGATTCATACAACTGTCGGAGCTTTACTACGCCGGCAGCCATGGCATGGACATTAAAGGCCCAACAAAAAGCTCCAAATTCAAGAAAGCTGTAAGTCAACAACAACAAATTAAAAAAAAATTAACGTTAATTAGGCGATTAATATTGTAACCGATTCATTTTAAAACGCTAATTTTGTTGACTAATCCGAGGTTGTTCTTTTTCAGGATAATAAAGCCCTCCTCTTCCAACCAGCTAGCGAATTTCTTCCCATGATAGACGAGGTTCATGTTTTTTTTTTTTTTTTTTTTTTTTTTTTTTTTTTTTTTAGTTAATTTTTTTTTCAAAGGGAATTAAATTATTTATTTATTTTTTTTACAGGTTTATCAAAAATTGGTAGAGAAAATAAAATCAACTCCAGGGGCTAAAGTGGAGAACAACAAATTTTGTATCTCAGTGCATTTTCGCTGTGTTGATGAAAAGGTAATAATAATAATAATTATTATTATTATTATAATTTATAATTTATAATTTATTATTATTGTGACACTTTCTTATTATTCTATACTTACAGCAATGGAATAATTTAGCACAAGAAGTTAAATCAGTGGTTAAAGATTACCCAAAGCTCCGACTAACTCAAGGAAGAAAGGTTTGTACAATTCTCACTCTCTTTATGTACAAATCTTCCAAGTATATATAGAGAGAAAAGCTTATAACGAGCTACCATTACAGGTACTAGAAATCCGCCCGACCATTAAGTGGGACAAAGGCAAGGCGCTCGAGTTTTTGTTAGAAGCGCTAGGTTGGTTCAATATGATTATCTGGAATAGAATGTAAAATATTGATCTTTGTCAGTTAAACTTATGAAATGTAAAATGTTTTAATATAGGGTATGCAAATTGTTCTAACGTGTTTCCTATTTATATTGGAGATGATCGTACGGACGAGGATGCGTTTAAGGTATTGTATTATGTTGTTATTGTCGGTTTTAAGGTTGTAAAGTTGGTTTTATGAATGATTTTGGTAAAGATTATGTGTTTTTGAATATGGTAGGTTCTAAGGGAAAGAGATGAAGGGTTTGGGATTTTAGTGTCTAAAGTTCCTAAAGACACTCATGCTTCGTATTCTTTGCGAGAACCTTCCGAGGCAAGTTTACTAAACTTATATATACTTTTGGGTGTGGAAGGAAAACCCAGAGAGAATAATATCTACTAGTGGTGGGTTTGGTCTGTTACACGTTTTCTCATGCATTTTGAGACGTTTTTGTTACAGGTTATGCAATTTTTACAACGTTTGGTGCATTGGAAGCGACCACCTTTGCTAAGAAGACATTGTAGGGTTTGAAAGGGCAGTCTTGGAGGGAATGTTTTGTGTTTGAGTGTGGGGGTGGGGGGAACTCTTATGTAATTTGCTTGTTGTGTAGGGGTTATATTAGTCCAAAAGAAAAATAGGAGAAGGGGATGTGGGGAAAACTAGAAAAATTGTAACTTTTTTTTCTTGGCCTTAGTGCCCTTCTTCTACTACACATATCTATAAACTAACTGTGTTTTAAGACCAAAAAAAAAACATATATGGTAACGTAGCCATCTTTGTCTCTCGAAAAATTTGTTCCGAGTGCTATAATTCGATGTAAAACTTGTCACTTTAAACCTTGAGAATCTCTACAATAATAAAATATTGTTCACGTAGTTTTGTGTAAGTGTTTTCTTTCACTTTCAGCCTTCTTTTGATGTTTTTAAAACGACTCTATTAAGGAGACGTTTCTACACGTTCATAACAAATGTTTCGTTTTTCTCTCCAACCAATTTGAGATCTCACAATCCACCCTTTGGAGCCCAGTGTCCTTGCTAGCATACCGCTCGGTGTCTTGCTTTGATACCATTTGTAACAGTTCCCCACTAGCAGATATTATCCGGTTTAGCCTGTTACGTATCACCGTCAACCACCAGACGGTGTGTAGGTCTAAATCCTTTCCATAATAGATGTATTTTAAAATTGTGAGGCTGACAACGATACATAACAGACTAAAACAGACAATATTTATTAGTGGTGAACTTAAACGGTTATATTTTGCATTTGTTTGTCTTTAATGGAAAGGATGTTGAGCTAACTCAACACAAAGGGTTCATTAATGGAAGGCTATGGACATTCGAACGTGTAAAGAAAAGCTTTGGTACAAAGTGAAGAAATTTTTTCCAAAAAGAACATGCACTTTTGCAGCCACCATCCTATGGTGTTTTCCCTTTCCATTTACCAACGATTTCAAGTGCTTTTAGTTTTTTTAGATTTTTTTTGTGTGAGTGACGAGTTCATTGAATAATTTATACACGTGTTCGTAGGTTGAGTCATTGAATAATTTATACACGTACTCATAGGTTGAGTCCGGTCCAGTTCAAACATTTTTAAATGGGTTCAGTTAAATTTAATCGAAACTCATTAACTAATTTAATTGATGAAATTTTCTTTTATTTCTTAATCAGATTTTTCGAGCCTAATAATTTTTACAACTAAATTGCAAAATAATAACAAAACAAAAAAAATTGTTATAATATTTTTTTATTAGGATTTCAAAATCTTACAAATGAGATCCAATTAAAATAAATTTAGAGCGACCATAAAATGATATTTAAACGTTTATTTTCTATCACGAGCTATTTCTTTTAAATGTTTTTACATTTTATGTGTTGCTTGTCAAATGAACCATGAAATTAAAATAATTTATAATAATTTTTTTTAGTTCTAAGAATAGTAACGTAATTAATGTCTTAATAATGGTCAAAAATCAAATGTGGAGACATAATAGAGCATAAAAGAATAAAATCAAATATGAAATTCCATGATTTATGGAGAGATTCTTTATTGACTTTGTTATTCATAACACACATTTAAATGAGAGAATCTTGTCTAAAGGATTCCTCATTCATTGGCTTGCATTTAATGAGCTTTGTTTTGGTAGGTGATGGTTCTTGTTTTAAGCACGTTATTATAATATCAGGATTCGATATCGGTTGTTGAGGAGAATTAGATCTCAGCACATAAAAAGACTAGTGAGTAAAAGTAGTGATACAGTCATAACCCTCGTCTTTCTTTTTAATTGTTAGATTCCATATCAGTTGGAGAGAAAATGAAACATTTATTGTAAGGGTGTGAAAACCTCTCTCTATTAGACGTATCATAGAACGTTAAAGGAAATTTCGAAAGAAAAAACCAAATAGGACAATATCTGTTAGTGGTTGACTTTGAATGTTACAGATGGTATCAAAGTCAATCATTGAATGATGTGAGGCTGATAGTAATATGTAACGAGCTAAAAAAGACATTGTTACAAAAGCACTCAATTCTTTGTCTATTCGTATGAAAAACAAAAACAAAAAACAAAGCATATCACATGTTTCATAATTAAAAATTTTCACAGGTCATATTTGACGAAGCTATTAATTGGACACATAAAAGTATTATCTAACCCTAATTAGATGAAGATAAAAAAGATGGCACCCATAACAAGAAGCGATTAAATAAACGAGCCAGAGTAGACCTTATAGAATATAACTTTGTGGCTATGTATCGAATTATTGGAGCCATCATCCACAATTCAACTTTAGTCCAATCCTAAGAAGCGATTAGTATTATCGAAAAAGCATAAAAAACGACGAGCACAGAACGACTCTATTGTGTACACAGGAATTGTTATCGAAAACAAGAACACATAATAGGAAACATTTATTATTGTTTGTAAGGTACGTAAAATACACATAAGAAGGGGAAGATGCATGGGTTTTGGTTGCTAGAAATAATGGAGGAGCAAAGGTATATTATTGATGAGTTTGTTTGAGGCAGAGGCAGCCGCAGTTTGACATGCAGTGGTGGTTTTCAATTTTCACGCACTCCAATGGACCAATTATTGGACCCAAAACACATATAGCTCACCCTGAAATTATTATTAAAACCAAGCAGCAGAAAAATGGAACTCTCTTTCTCTGCATACAAATATGGTGCCACGGCGTGCGCTCTCAAAGACACAGCTCTTTGTCGGCTGCCCCCCCGTGATACTCACTCACTTATTCATCCTTACTTTATTATACCCACTTTCTTCCCACTTTTGAGGTTCATCTTTCAACGTTTGACGATCCCACTCTTTTCATATATTTCTATTATCTGTATTGGTTCGTTACGTATCGTCATAAGACTCAAGGTTTTAAAACATTTTTGTTAGTAATAGGTTATTCCCCTCTCCAACCGACATGAGATATCACTGACAGATCACCTAGTTTCTGGCTCTGATATCATTTGTAATTGTCCAAGCTCACCACTAGCAGATATTGTCTGCTGTGACCCGTTACATATAACCATTAGCTTCACGGTTTTGAGACGTGTCTATTAGGGAGAGATTTCCACACATTTATAAGAAATGCTTCGTTCCTCTCTCCAACCAATATGGACGGTTACAAATCTAGATACAACACTTCGTTGCCCCTGTATTCTCCTACATCCCTTACAACATGACCACGTTACCTTCTTGTTACTTCTAAGAGTGAAGAATACAATCCCTATACACCACACACAAGTCGTTTCAACATATTTTGTCTTCACTCACGTGCATAATTTTAGAAATTCTATAATTTAATTAGTATAAAAAAGTAGCTTAAGAACTCGAAAACTTTCGCTAAATATTTTATAAAAAAACCAAAAAAGTATCAAAATTTATCTAAAATAATTATATCCATCCAAAACATTGCATGAATCTTCCCAGCAGTGTCCTCTTTTGTGGACAGCTGTGAAGAACTAAGTCCTCAGCTTATTTAATTAACACTTTTAAGAACAGTGTATTATATGTTAATTAAATAATTCCCATTTGCTTTTCTTTTATTCTAATTGTAATTATGTGTACGAATTAAATAAATTAATTGAACAAGATCTGCATATCTACTCGAAGTACTTGATATGGTTTCAGCCATGCATTGCTTCCTTCGTTTGAAACTAAGAATTTGCAGACACTCTTTACGTAGACAAATGGAAATGGAAATAGAAGATGATGAACAACACATAATTAATCAATAATTCTTTTTAAAAGCTTTTGTTTTTCGAGATACCCTAATTCAAGTTCTTGAAAAAACCCGAGATCAGTAGGCCATCCAGCTTTTGGGGACGAAATGATAACAATAATTAAGATCGAAAAGAAAAAAAAAGAGGAGTTGTAAGTGTCAAGATTATGTGTTTTATAAGACAAAGTTTTGATTAGATATTTTTTTTATTCTCCCAACAAAAGCTGAAGTATTTGTTGTAGGAACAGCAAACATGTCGTGTAATATGATCGCCACATGCAATGCAATGCAAGAAGAGAGTTTAATATATTTATTGATGGTAATGAGAGCGATGGCTATCAAGCATATTAGTTAACATACATGAATGAACTAATACCATATCTAAATGAGAGGGACAAAGTAGGAAATAGTATTAGTCTGGGGATAGTTTTGAGTCTTAGAAGTTAGAAGTAAGTAACGTGACTATGTCACAAGAAATGTAGTAGAATATCAAAGTCATCACGTGTCGAATTCGAAGATTTTGAGACAAGCCCACTTGAGAGACGGAGGAATCCCATGTTGCATGACGTGCTAATAATTCTTCTGAGAAGCATGTGAATGAGAACAAAGTACGAACTAGTGTTGGACTGCGAGGATAGTTTTCACTCTTAGACGTTAGAAGTAAGTAACATGACCATGTCACAAGAAAGGTAGGAGAATCTCGAAGCCATTAAGTGTCAAATTTGAAGATTTTGAGACAAACCCACTTGAGGACAGAGGAATCCCATATTGCATGACGTGTTAATAATTCTTCTAAGAAGTATATGAATGAGGACAACTTACAAACTAGTGTTGATCAGTGAAGATAGTTTTCACTCTTAAAATTGAAGTAAGTAACATGAACCATACCACAATCAGAGCTATCAGGTGTCAAATTCAAAGATTTGAGACAAACCCACCTTGAGGGACGGAGGAATCTAGCTGATTATGGTTCATATTATTTATAATTGGCTTTTGTCATGGGGTTTCCTTGTCACTTGGTAAGGAGACTGAGGGTAAAAAGAGGTAAGCTTTTTAATGTTTTGGATGGTTTCGTGAAAGGGAAAGGCACCATAGAAGAAAGGGGAATCTATGGTTGAATGAGGAGTTGGAATGCACTTAAAAGGAGGGAGTTTATGTAATATGTATTATGTGCATAAGGAAGGGGGAAAAAAGAAGAGAAGATAAAGAAAAAGACATGGGTTTTGGTGTTGGAATCGAGACACAAACATGGCTCCAAAGCTTATTTAAAAACATCGTCTCTTTTGGACGTGGAAAGATGGAGTCCACTTGGATTGATACCCATCATTGTTGCAACCTAATTTAACCCTAAAATCACTCTCTAAACTACTCAATTATTGGTGTTGTGCATGTCAAACACTATAACCATTTAATCAATTATAAACCTATCGGTAACTTACCGATGTAGAGATCGTACGTACACATAGAACGTTTCCATTATGATTTTCGATCTAATATATAAAAGTCAGACTTATTCAATTGTATCATTTAGATGTTAGAGTAATGCTAGCAACCAATTTGAGC